AATCGTATTCTCCAAACAGGGTCTCCGTTTTGCAAATTGCGCGTGTAAGACACCATACGCATTTCTAACTAACCTGAAGTCAATTCCTTTGAATCCCGATCTCTCATCACCTTTTCGATAACCCTCAATGCTCTGATCTCCGTTCTTGAACCGTTCGCACGATTCACGTTCTGTGCTTTCATTCAAAGTCTCTTTGCCTAATACTTACACAATCTTTCAGTGAATTGAACAGAACCTTCGAGTACCAAAAAGGTGACTACTGGGGGTCGATTTCCGAGAATAAAACATATTTATACAACTGATCCTTACTCACATGTTTCCAAAGGACTGAAATATTTACCAGCCAGATTTAGAAGGCTAGCGGAGCGAAGTTAAAAAATTATTCAAGTCCGCTAGATTCACTAATAAAAATAAAACATTGACAATGACGCATATTTCTTCAACCAATTGACAAATAACGCGGTCAGCAACCGTTATTTCCGGACCGAGCACAATCGATTATAACGTTGTGGCTGTCTAATGATCTAGCCCTTAATTAATACAATACCCCAACAAATTTTCACAACCTAACTTTGGAAACATTTTTTTCTTCTACCGTGATACATTATGGTAGCGGGTTACTAGCGAACAAAAAAGCTATATTCCTATAGAATATGTCTTTCAATAAAAACACAATTACAATAACTTTCTAAGATAGTATCATACTAGAAAGCTAAACCTGAAATAGTAGGAGTATAGAATGCACGCTTTCTTATGTTCTCCCTTCAAGTGAATAAATTTTGCTTAGGATGTTTTTCAACATCTACCACATAGAACGAAACGGTTATGTTGGGTTCACAGAGATGAGTCCCTTCCCCTTCGTAGCTTAGTGGGTAAAGTATTTGCCTGTTAATCTTAAAGACGCGTTGCGGTCAAGGTTTAAACCTGAGCGTAGACAGACTTCGTTTTGTGCTGGGAACCAGCTGTCTGTGCGATGGAATGCCTAACGACGCTACCGGATGTAAAACTCGAATTCGCAGAGCTTTAAGTGTCATCCGAGAAGAGTTATTAATATAATCGTTTCCCATAACAAGTTGTACAATTCATTTCTTGAGAAAGTATGTAGTACTTGTACACTTATGTATTATAAAGAATCATTGTTAGCTAGTAAGAAGGACGATTTGGAGCCGTTACCTACATGTACCCGAAAATAATTTATGGTATTGTCTATATGTTATCGCTTTATAATGTACGAAAGCCTTCAACACTCCAATCGCTTCAACACCCAACAATCATTGAAAGATGAGCTCTGCCAAAAGCAGAACCGCTTGTTTTCAATCTATAGAATTGTCCAATTCAGGTATATACAACAAAACCGTATATACCATGTATATCGAAAACAAAGTCTGTTAAACTTAACAGTGCGGCTAATTAACGCTCCTCATTTGTAGTCTTTGCAGGTTTCCGATGAAATTCACATCGGGTTTTTTCCAATTAGAAAAATATTAGCTTTACGGGACTACCTTTTTACACCGCCAGCACTGTGGAGTAATAGAACTCTCTTCGTAAAAGAGATATTTGTATTCCGCTTTGTTGACAGATTGGTCTCGTAGGCCTTGGGCAATTAGCATGACCTAATCTACAACCTTCGCGATGCCCACCATCGTTGCCAATTTCAATGTACCCCACAGTATTATTGTTTCGCTACTATTTTGTTTTGCCTTTTAAAATAATACCGTGGTTATTTTCTCGGATCACGGTAGTAGCATTGAGAACTATTAATACCGTATAGATTGAACTTTTTTCCATCAGTGAACAACACGTTATCGCATTTTTTCGTATCGCTTGTCCACTTGCGAGCGCCATTACAGTTTAACTTCCTTGTATCTTCTGGGCCAGAAAATTGTTGAGCCTTGATCTGAAATGCTTTAAATGTCGCTGACTTCCCAAAAAATTATTCGTTCGAATTGCTTTAACGGTTTCGCTTTTTTGTGTCATTTGCTGTAACCAACTTCTATAGTTGAGTAACGAAGTGTCATTTCTGCAGGACGTAAACCAATATCTTAGTACCCTGAAACCTCTCAATAGGAAATAATTCTGCGGACATAAAGCTTCCTATAAAAAGATTGTGTAGATAAAGAATGTCACGAAAATGATATGTTGGTAACTTGATTATATCATGTGCTTTCAGGCGTTTTGATATGCAGATAGGCACTGCACATGTTGTTATAGGAAATACCACTTAGCCAAATTAACTGACAAATTGTTCCATTACATCTTGCACTCAGCTTCGGCAAGATGATTCGATTTCGGATCCTCCGATGTTACGGTGTAAGAACTGTACCCACTTGTTTTTGGGAAAACCCATAAACAGTGAGAATTTAAAAACAAATGTCTAAAATAATCCTCTTTTTTTTTCAGTTAAATATGTTTTTCCAGCATTTTTATGGCTAACGGAACTACGTGGCACTGGAGGTTTACTGCGTTACGCTCGCTAGATCTAGCAACTAAAAACAAGGATTCTTCAGATTCTGTACAAAGAATTATAGCGAACAAACTATGTTGATTTAACAGTTAACCGAAAACTAGGTTCAGAAAACGGTTCGAACCATTATAACCTTGTTTTTATTTGGACGTAATTAATACTCAAATTGCAAAAGAATGTACATAAGATGTATCTCTTTTGCTTTTACTGCAAGTGTTGGAAATTCTTATCGTTTTGGTCAATACACTGTTGATAGTAGTGGGCTATTGATTCAAATAATGATTTAGTTTGATGTTGCGGCACATTCTCGTTTAATAGTGATTTAATTCTTCCAGTGTAATCAGTTCTCTGGCGTAAACTTTAGCTTAAAGTATCCCAATAAGAAAGGATCCATAGCGTAACGAGCAGGATATTATGTCAGACTTATTTGACCAACCCATTCGTTTAGAGAATCCTCGTCAAAAGATGCCCTTACATCGCTATGATACTGTGCAGGTACTTTACCCAATTGGAAGTTATAGGTTCCCTTTTCCCCGGAGTCCTCCCAAATGCGCGATTCTTGCGACACGTTCAGAGAATCGGCACTAATCTCTGCACTGTCAAAAACTAATTATCCAGTTAATCCGTTGCTTGAAATTGCCACATGCATTGGGTCCTGGTGAATTTACATTGCATTCCTGCGTAAGATATGAGTTTGTATTTGGCCAGTCCACCTACTGCCATTAATCGGCAATATGCAGCTTAATTGTACCATCTAATTTGAATGTGGTTTCAACTCTCCAAATGATCTTTTCCAAAAACGGCGCGCTCCAGAACGGAAAATGCTTGAGAGGTCAACATTTTACCAGCTATCTTGAAGCACTGAACGGATGCGTAAGGCAAAAGCCTACAGCCTCTTTTTAGTTACGTCTGGTTGAGCGATTCTAACCATGAGAGCGTGAGGTAATGATAAATTTCTACTATGAGGCGGCTAAAAAAGGCGGAGATATAAAACAATAACTTTTTCGGCCGACCGTAGATATAGAGTGATTCTGTTTCGCGACAGTCCTTTTCAATAATCGTGCAAAGCGTGCTGAAGAACATACGAAGTTCCCAAGGAGGCACTTGTGAAAATGTTGAAATAAACTCTTCTTTCTGTACATGTGATCGTAGCTCGACAGTAGACGCCACCTCAGAAACCACCATGGTGTTAGAGTACATCGTAGTTCAAAATAACGAGAAAAAAATTTTATGATCAGGATGCATTTCAGTGTGCGAGGGTTAACATGCATACTAAGCGAATTACCTGCAGAAGAATCGCAGTATGTGTATGATGATCTTCGTCTACTTATGATTGCACACTTGTGCTTATTTTACTGAGTACAACTATTAATTAAGTAACTTTTTAATGGCCATCTTCTTCGAATGCAGTAACATGTTTTTCGACATGCCAAGAATACATAATTACGATTCTGTGAGGGCCAAGGGACATACACAGGTATGGTATCCGCAGATACGTAAATCAGAAATTTTAGAAAATACGCCTATTTAACGAAGCCCGCGACGTTAGAGTAGCTTTACGTACGTATAAATACATTTCGTTGGCAGACACATGAGGCAGTACGCAGTAGCTTTCGTTAAAAAAAACATGGCTTAGTGTGCTTTTTCGCAGCCCTGCCCAGACGAATTAAAACATGCTTAAAACCTCATAGCTTCCTTTGTAAGTTAACTTAAGAATTAATATTATGTTGACATATAGGTATACCTAATGCAGATGTGCCAAAATTACGAAAGTAGCCATCTTGGCGACAGTCGAGGTTACGAATTGCTGCTTGCTTCCATTTACTAACTGGAAAGACACAGAAATACTCTAAATTTAAATCTGCGTATAAACGCACTCTAATCTGCGGTAAAAAAAAAGTTTGACAATTTTACCAAAAGCAATGAATGTAGTAATCCTTTGATTTGCTTGGTCCTTCCAGACAGCTCGCATTGAGTTTCCTGCCCTGGCAGGTTCCTGAGTCAATACCAACAGGAATACTTAGGCCTGTCGTAAAAAGGGCTTGTCGTTTGTTTCCTTGTTTCAGGCCATAGCCAATGGTTACATTGTGAAGAGCCTCAAGTCACGCTAACAGAATAAATCAAACGAGATATTCGAGTAAATGTGAGGCAAGGCCTAACTGCATTAATTCGGTGTTGTGTAGAATAATTGATGCCTTTTTGGGAGAAGACCTTTGACATATCTTGTGTTAGACTTTCATTTCCATTTGTGCAAGATGCAACTCATAGTTACTTACTCAATAATTACTTTCCGCGCAGCATGGAATTTCCAGTGTTCTGACAGTCATAAAACATCAATTCTTTGTTTCGCTCAAGCCACCGAGCTTTAGGGTGCGATATATGATCGAAAGCGTGCTTTAAGCTAAATGGAGACAGCATGCGATCAAAACCAAACACAACTTAACTCCTTCGTCATTTTCTCTCATAACTTTGCTAAATTCTTAGAGCAGGAAGTATCACTCTATATTTATGTGGTATGTAAATAATCTTCGCAATACGTATCCCTATATAGCTTTCTTAAATAAATCTTCTTCAACCCAGCATCCTTTCAATATTAATAACATAATATTGAACCAAATCTTTTTGACAAGGAACACATCTTAGTAATTAATAAAAATAATCGTAATAACATGATAATATAAAGTACTTCTCATATACTTTTTATTTCACTTTCCTAGTGTTACCAGCTTCAGTTCAGTCTGGGGCAACTTAAGGAACGGTAGTTTTATTCTATTAGATTCATCGGACAGCCTCGATAGGCGTGATATCCATTCATATTGCCGCCACAATGCTCTATATCAGAAAGTTTGCGACTACGTTTTTTTAAAATTAACCTGCTATCCGAATCGGCGCTACAGCCCTTCAGATATGATCTCTTTCAATTCAAAGCTAAAATTCTTCCAGAGTTTTAACTTTGAATTACAATATCTGACGTATTTGTATCGTTGAAGAAAGATTTTTCATCAAGATATTTTCATCATTGGGCCTGCTTGTTACGTCTTGTAATATGATTTTTTTTGGCGTCGACAATCTCGTTAAAAAGCGCTTTTCTAAAACCGATGGCCTATCTTTCAAAGCCCGATTCATATTACTAATTCCAGAAGTATAAATGATTTATCTGATTCATGTCATGCATACATTTGAGTTATGACATAGGAATGCAGTTAAACACAAATTTATGTGTCAAGTTATAGCATATTTAAGATCTTGACATAACAAGTGCATTTATGAGATATGCGACTGTTAAAAATATTAATTTTAGTAAAAAAAGAAACTCTTTGTCTATAACAGCTGCCTTTTAGTCGTAATACTATATCATATTTTACCACTTGTTTCTGCTCATCCCACCTACTTTAGCGGGCATACTTCGTCGTAGCTATCGAAGCGATTCTACCATAATAGTTCACCGTCTGACCGACTTGGAAATCGTAGATAGCGCAATGCCTACAGAAGAACATTATTGCGACATTTTCTCAGCGTGCAGCTCAGGTTAGTACACATTATGCATATATACTATGCATAAAGTGGTTAGAGAAGAAAATTTCAGTAACAACTTAAATACCTGCGAAGTTATTGTCCATTATCCAGTCCACTTTCTTTGAGACACTTCGAACGTCATCGAATGTTACCCAGTCCTCATCGTGATAGGCATACGGTACTTGAGATTCATTGTGGAACACGCTTGTCCATTCGTTCTGTAATATTAGCTTACACACCTGGATAAACGAACACATAACAAAAAAGACAATTTTTATCGATAATCATACTGAACACAAGCTTCTTATCAGGTTTTGGCTTCAGTGGTCTTAGAAACGAGAAAATTAATGATCTAGAGGATGCAGGTGACCAAGCGCCATAGGTTTTAAACCAGGTTACATACAATACATATAAACCTGTGTATATGTGATAGTTGTGTCTCCACTAACTGGAGCCCCGACGTCGTGCATCGCAGGATTTATCAACTTGAACATCACAGAGTAAAATGGTATGCCGACAACTATTTTACTTCGAGGCATACCTAAAACAGGCAACAAAAAACGTTAACAGGCCAATAGTTGTTAACAAAGTTTAACGAATTTTAATTAATTTTAATTAAAATAATTAGCGAAGATAGTGGAGCTAAATGTGTTTCCTATAATAGAGTACTGGCAAGAGATTGTTGTCTCATATTTTTTACCAACTGACATCAAAAAGTGAATTGGTCTAGATATAAAATAGTTCAGTTTCAATATGACTTCATACTTATTTGAACGGTTAAGCCTGTACAATCTAACCTATGTATAAAGATTAGCAAATCAGATTATTTAGTAGAATATCATTAAATAAGTAAATGAGTGCTTCTAGATGCGCTAGTTTTTTTATAGTCCAAAAAACACAATATTTTAGCTACATCTAAAATTTTAAAATAATGTGGGTTAGGGTAGCATGAGAGAGCATTGTCTAACTACACTGGCAAAAGTCCAAGAACGTAATGCGAGTTGTCATCTCGAAGCTTTTATAAATAAATCGACAATAGGTTTTTAACAACGCACCTTTTCTAACCCACAGGTTGCTCGCGTACTCCAAATTGAGGAATCTGAGAAAAGAAACTTGTCCCTTGTGACTAAAAAGAGGACTGTTGAATTCGGCAATGGGAAAAATGGGATTGTAACGGGAAAAGTCGTATCCCATCAATAAGCAGTAGTCCAAATACCTGACGAAAACAGTCCGAAGAAAAAGCATGATTATATCATTTACGTGCAAGGGTAGTATTTAAATTATTGGCCTTTTGATTACTTAAAGTAACTAAATATTTAAGCGGGCACTAAAAGTACTAGGTTTCTGACTAGTGTAAAAAATTCACACTTTTGCCATGATTTATGCATAATCTTGTCTTTTCTCAAAACTCGTACAAATATGTGAAAGTAAATAAGTTTGAGCGCGAGAAGATTTTATTGGAAATACCGCATTTTGCTGCTATATATATATATATATATATATATATATATATATATATATATATATATATATACATATATTGTATTAATGGTATTTCGGTATAAAAATTGCGTTCTCTAGTGTGTTTCATCTCTAACTGACCGGCTTCGATGGTAAGCGGCGCCGTGATGAGTACTAAACTGCTTTCTCTAAGACATTGCGCTACGTAGCCAATGCAGACTTATTGTGGCCAACGAATAGAAAGAGATAAAAAATGTTTGCAAAATGTTCATGGTTTGGACTCAACAAGACGAGACCCTAAATGATAATGCTTAAATTAAAGCAGTCACAGGAAAAACTAGAAGCATACGGATGACTGTGGTACCTAGTCAAAGGTGGAACTGAGATAAGGTTTTTCTAAATTGGTAATAGTCCTAGTAGCATCCTTACATTTCAAAAGTAACCCAGTGTCCGTGTTCTCAAACGTAACTATACACAAGGTCATTTATCTTACCTTTCAACCAATAAGATAACATAATTGAAAAGGCTATGCAAGCAGAAAGAGTAAGCCAAGAAAGTTTGCGATCTTAACGAACAATTTTGCTATTATGGCAATACATAATATGGCTACTAAATCGTTCTTATGTATGTAACTTGCCATGAATTTGCATAATAATTGCGTTAGTTATCAGTGAGAAACCTTCTCTGTTAAATGTCCCCCATAGCAATGTATACGTAGTGTAGCGTGTAGACGTTCTAGCTTTAGGAGCCAAAAGAGCTCTGACAACTTTTTTGTTGTGATAGAAACGCCAATTTTCTGAATTCATTATGAGATGAGATGACGGTGCGCGATCGGCCACAAAGTAGTCCATCTAGATTTTTGATGAGGCTTTGTATTGAATTATATATATTAAATATAATCTACGTGACACAAGCTCATACCGTATGTTATTAGCCGGTACAGTTCACTTCCATAAATGGACTTCGTCGTAGTTCGGGTTTACTCTGATACCAGTTCTGTTTGCCGTTGACATTGACGTGGTTTTTTGATTGAATGAGAGAGTTCATGTCTCTCCCCAAGCCTTCGTAGCTGCTTAAGTGTTCTTTCTGTCCTTAACAATAAGTTCAGGTAGATATATAAATATATACGCAACCTGAAGATAGGTCAACCAAAAACTATGTCCATTTATATATATATATATATATATATATATATATATATATATATATATATATATCTGTTTTCGATCATATTAGAGAAACTTCGTAAGGTGCTTTCTGATATGCGTGATCCATTCAAATTTGCACTTTTTTGTACCTGCATTACTTACTTGGCCATATTAGGCACATCATAACTGACTTCGACGATACTAAAGGGTGCTGCAACAGCCGCGGTGAGCAGGATATGCTTTCCCGTTTTGGCTATGCTTCTGTTAAAGGTACCCTGTAACTTTGACAGAAGTTTGATGAAGTTTGCACGATCCATCCAAGACAACCCGGACAATACAGGAAACTCCCAATCGATATCAAGGCCATCAAAGCCGTTATGTTCGATAACTCGCTGCGCTGACTGAGCAAACCTGTGCACACATAAAAGTCATCGGAGTCAATATAGCGTGTAGCTTGATTTTTTCGTTACTCAGGGTAAGGTTGAAAACTATTATTTTTGTAATGATAATAATATTACCGGTCACGATTATTTAGTAAAATCTATTCGAATGGTTTGTCGAATTATTTTTCTATGAAGGTTGCCAGAATGGGGAACGGTGGGGCCTTTAGAGTCGGACGCTATGTCGCACACCCTTTTTGTTCACAAATTCATGGAATCTTTTAAACATATATGGATATTATATGTGGCACAACTAAGATTCTTTTTTTTACCAATTAAATTCTAAAAAGGGAATAAAAGAAATTATTCGGGCAACTATGTTTTGGCTGTGTATGATCGAATCTTGTTGATTGCTATCTGACTGTCAAACTGAGAGATCTAATATGCCTTTAACTAGAATCCAGCGTAGTACTATGACAAGCCATATATATGTATATTCTATGTATCTCTATTTACCGTTGCTATAAAGGGTGTATTATAATTTACGAGATCAATATTTATCAACAGAAAACTTAGCCAAAAAAGTGGACAATTCCTCAAGTTGTGTCAAAATGTGGATTATGACAAATAATGATCATCTGAAGCTTGTTTCGGCATGTCGCGAGCCCCATAAACGTCCAAATAATACCGACATGAATTTAAGTTCAGACACTCCTAGGCCACCACGAAGTACTTCATTTATTAACTTTCGTTGCCTACTTAGAATCCAATAGAGGAATGTATGTACGTATAAGTACATACATTTATGTATTGGGCTGCCAAAAAGGGATTAACCGTTTTGGAACCGAAATTGAAGCAAATCTCCTTTATACTTTAAAATAATATCACTAAGTTAAATGTGCGTCGTTTTTATCGATGACATTTTGCCATTTCTCTGGTAATCCTTTAATACCATTGCTGCAGAACTTTGTGACTTCTGGACAAAAACTGTGAAAGGTGATTTTTGTCAGGATGGAGGACGACGCCCTTTCTGTGCACTAATTCCGATCGATTCCTTCGATGGCTTGTTGTTAGTTATTAACAATAGAAATTCGAATCGATCGCTCTGCCAGGCGGCAGCAACGCTTATGCATTATTCCTTTCCAATCGCACCAAACTCATGGCGTCACCTTCTCCGGTGTAATTCTTGCTTTGCTACAGATTGTAGAGCACACTTTTTTATTTGCTTATTATTGTCGTATATGATTGGCTTTTTATTACCCGTAATCAATATCTTTAGAAATAACTGAATATCGTTGCATCCTGGTATGCGTGGTCCATTCAAATTTGCGCTTTTGTGCGTTTTATACTTGCATTACTTACTTGGCCGTATTAGACACATCATAACTGGGTTCAACGATACTATCTCGTAGATGGAAATATAATGGGGCACGTTATTTGCGTCGATTTGTGTGGCACTTCAACATCAAGCTCTTTTTGTAGCCCGCTTTCTTAAGGTAGCGTAACACTGTTTGGTGGTAACTGTTTATTGACGTTACTATGGTTACTCAAGTGTTGGTTTTATTGAACTTTTGAAATTATTTTATCTAGCATATCCTAGCTTCCGTATCAAAATTTTTAGGATGAAAGAGCTTAAACAGCACAATTTGTATGGGCCTGGCCAACATCTGTGCATTTTTTGTAGTAAAACTGAAGAATCTCTATATTCTTCAGTTCATATAATTTTCGCGAAAATTTAACTCATCATCGAGACGCTCTATCTCAAACCTGAATAAAAGCATTCCAACAATTTTAGCACATTTGCTATTGCCGAATTTCATTAATGAATGACGTCAGAAATGACATTAAAACCAATTCGCAATATTATTCGTGACTAAAGTCACCTGATTAAACAATCGGTTGATGATATATATCATGTCGGGATCACGGATAATTACGATAGTCACGTTAGGTTTAGGTTAACTTCAATAACGAACATAATATTGGAACCTCTGGATGTGATAGTATAATTTCATACAAAGTTATTATTAGGAAAGCTTTATAAGCATTGATGTAGACAAATTATGATCTTGTCAAGAATCATTTGCCAAAACCAAAAAATCACAGCTTCCCTTTGAAATAAAGAAAATAAACTGCATTGACCAACAGTATAACTAGTCTCATTCATAATTAAAGAAAATTAATAAATCTTTATTTGCCCTTTCTGTCCACACGATAGCGAAGTGTCTATAGAATATACCGGTAGAAGTTATTTTTTCCCGTGTCGAAAGTGATTTTTGTCTGCTTTATCAACTTAATACTTGACTCATCTAGCCCCATCATCAAGACTACAACGAAGCGGTTCGGTTCATTAAATGTCAACGTTTATGTTCGGCTGTACCTGTTAAGGGTGTCATCTACGGCTGCTGTTTCGCTAAAGTTCTTGGGGGTTGCCCCTATAGACAGTAAAACGTGTAGGTCAACAAAGCGTTTTTTTAGATCAACGACTCGGCGCCAGACGGAGCGCGTGGCGTTAGCATCCTTGCCTGTAAGTTCAAAGATTCGGAAAGTGAAAACCCGATGCATATACTGTATAGCTAAATTATATAATATATATATATATGCAGCTACAGAAACCATCTAGCTATGGTGTCCACTATAGATTAATTTATGGGTTGCTCAATATATATA